CCACTGATCCTTTTTAGCTTTGCTTTGCCATGCAAGAGAATTGATAAATGTCCCCCTCTGACTCTATGCGCCCATTTACACCAGATGTGTAAGCTAATGCATAGACAAGGCAAATTGCCTTTTTTACAATTAAGTTGTTGCGGTGACGTGGGCTGAATAAAAGTACTGCATGCATGTGTAGCAGCGCAGTACACTGCATCACTCAAGGATGAATAACACTGAGTGAAATATCACTTTGTGGTGTTTCAATAAAAGTTAAAAAAAAGAAAGGTTACAGTTTTCATCACATTGTCATCGCTCCAGACACAGCGCACACCAGTGGCTGCTTTCTAATGCAGCTGCTGGTGTGAACGAGCCCTGAAGCAGACCTGACTACAAACTGCTTCCCATTAAATGTGCATAGCTGGTGGTACAGGACTTACAACCATCAGTGCTCGTGCTTCTGGTAATATTAAAGCAACATTCTCCCTAAAACAGAGATTTCAGGTTTGGGTGAATGTTGGTGTGTTGAATAAACTTCTTATTTGCTATATATTTTGGGGGGATTCTAGTGGTTATATATACGACTCCAGTTCCCAGGTTCAACCATCCTGCCACTGCACATAACGAAGAGGTTCTACTTTCCTACTGATTATATATTACATAGAATACAGCACTAGGAGTAAGACCCTGCTGCACTGCAGTAAATAGCACTATGTGTCAAAAGAAAGAACTCAAGCAGGCAGATGATTGTGCAGGTCACTGTGCAGTTGTCCTGGCATTACTTTCCAGTAGACCTTCCCCTTTTTAGAAGTTGTACTGATGGTCCACCTATAGCATATTCCTTTTTTGAATGTGTTTCCACCTTGTTCTCCTTCTGTGATTATGTCTGTCTTCTTTCTACTGGGTGTCCTGAGAAGACTTGGTCTCAACAAATTTCACCAATGGAATGGGGTTAGTCTCTCTAGTGATCCTGAAAGAGAAATCCAGTATAATGAGAGTATCCATTTTGTATAAAGACTATGTGCATCTATTCAGTCTATAGTCTGTACTCTTGGAGCAAGAGTACTCCTACTCCTCTCTTCTAAAATACTTTGTTTTCCAAGACATCTGCTGACATTGGTAACATTATTGTCCTATTTGCTAGCTCAACATAAACATTCTATAGAACCCCCTCTCTTATCCTATATATAAAGGTCAATGCACCGTAATAAACTTTAAAACAGATTTTTTTCTTTTGACAGAACCCTGCATCTTGTCTCTGTTCTCTGGGTACATTTGTTCTCTGGCACATTTTGGGTAGTCCATTAGTAATGTTTATGGCCATTTATATTTAATGGTCACTTTTGGTCCTTTGGAGGGCTACGAGACAAGCTTTTGTCACCCAAATGGCATACGAAGTCCACCACTGTATGTTTTGTTTTTTTGGGGTATTGGTTGTTGCTATTTGAGGTGTTTCAGACAATGTGTGAAAAAGGTGTGAATAGAACCTTGCAAATTGTTTTTTTGTGTCTTCCTAGTGTGTTCTCGTTTTGTTACTATACTGAGTGTCAAAAGAGTTCACTGTGATATTGCATCACAGTGAACTGTAATGACTTTGCCTAGATTCATATCACAGGGCTTGTGTACATACAAGCCCATTCATAAACAATAAAGAATGGGCTGTATTGTACCCAATCTCTTTAACTAAAATCTGAAGTTCATTGACTTTCATTGCATCATCTAATATTCATTAACGTAGAACAGAGCCAGAACTTCTTTTTTTATATAGTTCTGGATAGAGTAAAGCTGGCCATATACCTACAGATTTTCGATAGGACATTTTTGTTGCTACCAAGAACCCTCTTTTGATTCTAGCTCAAATAGCCCATCATGCAAAGACCAATGTCGATTTTGATAATTGTAAAATAGTAGGGCTGGTAATGATTAAAATTTTCCTGTTCGATTAATCAATTTTTTTTTAAATTGATTAATCGACTAATTTCGATTAATTATAACATGGATTAATCGTTAATTTCCGCACCCCCTATTAATTAGCAATACTAACTCACCGAATTTTGCCAAACGGATTTTCATTTGCGCATGATAAAGGACTATTTAGTGGATTTTGTTCATGGCAATAGTATAATAAGTGATAATCAGCACGGATTTAGGAAGGACCGTTCTTGTCAGATCAACCTACTAACACTCTACGAAGAGGTGCATAGAGATCTGGATGGCGGAAGACCGGTGGATGTGGTATATCTGGATTTTGTCAAAGCTTTTGACACGGTACCACAGAAACACTTAATACACAAGCTTAAATCTATGTGCATAGATTAAATGGTGTGTATATGGATGGATAACTGGCTATGGGAACATGTCCAGAGAGTATTGATAAATAGCTCTTTTTCAGATAGGTCTAAGGTCAATAGTGGCGTGCCCCATGGTTCTGTGCTGGGCACTATACTGTTTAACCTGTTTATAATTGATATTGGGGAAGGTGTTGATAGCCATGTTTCTGTGTTTGCTGATGATACTAAAATTGGGAGGGAAATAGACACGGGATTAGACATTATTACAAGAGGATCTGGATAAAATAGGGGAGTGGACAACTATATGTCAGATGAGGTTTAATGTTGAAAATGTAAAGTAATGAATTTTGGGGTTAAAAACAGGCAAGTAGAAAACATATTAATGGGAACTCCACTAGGTAAGTCAGAAATGGAAAAAGATTTGGGGGTCATAGTAGAATGTAGAGAAAAAAGGTTTTTCTCGTCTTTCTGGTGTGTCCTGGTTTTCTTACTATACCGAGTGTATATATACTATACTCCACTAGGGAAGTCAGAAATGAAAAAAAAAAGAACCTAGCAGGTTCTAAGAACATAACAATGTACCACTGATACGCCATGTGATCTACACCTACGTTGATCTTTAACCTCCCTGGCGGTATTCCCGAGTGTGGCTCGGGGTTAATTTTCTGTACCATAAGCAGTAACCCCGAGCCACACTCGGGAATGCACAGCGCGTCTCTTACCTTGTCCCTCAAGTCGCGCTGTGTCCTCCGGCCGATGCCGGCACTCGTCCATTGCGAGCAGGTCGCAGGTGGGCGGAACCAGAGGGAGATTCAAAAGTTTAAAAAAACGGGAAAAAATACGAAAACACATTGAACGTAAAAAGGAAGAAAAAAAAGAAAAAATCATACCGCCAGGGAGGTTAAGTGTCACATCAACATTATTGATGTTAAGCATTAAGCATCCCCATATTATTGTTTTGCACTTGACCCTAAGTGATACCAGGTTATTTTTCTGCATGTGAACCAATGTTGTAGGTTTTCAGGCTAGAAAAGTACTGTACAATACGAGTTTCAATTGTGAATCTCTCAGACTAATTCACTTGAGAATCTGCTGCTCCTGAAACCTACCACAAATTCTAGACTTTATTGGTGAGTATGTCACATGGGTGCTGTCACACTTGGACCTTCATTCCCCGTGCTGGTGTTCTTGAATTTATGCATGTATATCATTTCAGTAACTGCCTACTATAAGGTGGGTTGCTTGAAGGTATACCATAAACACCAAGGAAATATGCAAAATTATACCTTGACAGCTGGGATTATGATGTCATCAAAGTGATTACATCATTGTGTTGGCTCCAGTGAAGATTGAATATACACACTGGATACATCTGTAGAGATTATTGAGGAACAATGACAATATATTCCTTCCTGATAAACTTTTTAAGCCTATTTTGTAATAATGATGTGCTTCATCCACATGAAGAGTTGGCTTTAACTGCATTTTGCAGCTTTTACTTTCTATTCTCTGGGCAACATTTATTGGAGCTATTAGACAAATAAAAAATTCAATCAGCTCATCTGGAAACAGTACAAGCGTGTGTTCTATACTACTAGATTGTAAAGTGAAAGCTTGTCAGCACATAAAACTATTAGCAATTCCGGACTTTCTTGCCAGCAAATGCACTGGGAAATGCTGTGCGAAAATGTACATTGTCAAGAAGCCAAAAAACAGCTGGATCAAAACCACACAGAGACCCATATTCTCTTTGCTCTCTCCACTGGGCCCAAGTACCATGGTGACATATCTGCCTTGCACCATCTGTTTAACCCCTTCATGACTGAGCTAGTTGTTAGTTTCTGTTCCTAAATGACTGACACGCTTTTTACATTTTTGCTGTGTGATTCTTCCACAGCAGCAAGTTTTGATTATTATTATTATTATTTTTAGAATGTTTTTAATAATAATTATAGTATAAAAATATATTTATATATAAAAGTTTTATTTTTGTATGTGCAATTTGGTACCTGTGACAGTCTCATTGCCACAGGTCGGCTGGAACTATGAGATGAGTGGAAATCACTCATGTCATAGTTCTCCTTTAATGAAAGAAAGAAGCTTTTACAAAAGCTTAACTATTTCATTAATGAATGCCTCAATACTGAGGCATTCATTAATGACTGGTAACTGCTGAGAATCAGCAATTACCGGCATTACAGAGGCTGATATAACTCGACACGTATAGTGTATGTGGCAAGTCATATAGCCACTTTGTGACTGTACGTCTCCCATCACGAAGGGATTAAAGCTGGTCACACACATCACAATCTGATTGTGCATTCTGCTTTAGATCTACCAACTACAAAGTTGTAAAGGAGATTGTACATATTATTGTCCTATCAAATTCTAACATGTAGCCAGTTTAAATTGGACAACTTGTTTTTAGTAACAATAAATACCTATGTCATTTATAAACAACAGAAGTGATGCACATACATCGGTAAGTAAAAGTAAAATAAAATAATAAACGACTGATAGCTAACAACACACAAAAACTGATTATAAATATTATGGGTTACAGCAATAGCACATAGTCATTGCACTTTGCCATATGAGGATTAAAAGAAGAACTCCAGGGAAAATTATTATTAACCCTTGCAGTGGGTTACCCCTGCACTGCATGGGTCAACTGCTCCTTTGGGACTAGGGAGAAAAAAAAGTTATACTCACCTGATTCTTGGCGCTGGCTTGCTCTTAGACCGGCCCCTGGAGCCTCTCTCCCTCTCCGCTGCAGCGATCACATTCTTTGCACAGTGTATAGAACGTGAGGATGCCAAGAGACATACCATCACTGAAGCGTAAGACTAGACATGCTGGAAGGAGCGCTCTCACAGCCAATCGGCTCAGAGGATAGGGTGAGTATAACTTTTGTTATTTTTCTCACTAGGAAAATTAGCAGCAGTTAACAGTTGCAGGGCAGGGGTAGGTAAAACAGTGAAAATAAGCAGCTGCTGTGACCTACCTTAAAAATAAAGGAAGCGTGACTTGCCTCCCTATATGCTTAAAATTCACCTGCTACCCAAACCAAGGATAAATGTGCCTCTTCACAATGCTATGCAGAGTCAGCCAACTGCGCTCTGTGTGAGAGCAGCTCCCCTTTAAACAGTCACTGACCCCCCGCTGTGTTGGACCACAGCTCTCCAATCAGGAACACTTGCGGTGGAGAATGAGGTATGTGCTATGTTGAGGTTGGTAAAAGCGTGCCTGCATGTCTGACAGCCCAGAAAAGTATTTGGAACTCCTAAGGGTCATGCCTGAGGAGTACAGTACTCCTGTTGCCAGTTACAACCTGCCAGCAGCAGGATTGCAAAGAGACTCCTTACCTTTTTCTATGGAGTTGTTTTCTCAATGGCTGGACCAGTAATACGTCATTCCGTAGCTGCATTCTTCCAGGTCAACAAGATAGAGACTCCCATTGGGGGAAATGGTGGCCTCACCTCAGTGATGGTCATGTGCTGCCAGAAGCAAAATCACCCATCTGATTGGCACTTCTTTAAAGAAAAACTCTGGGGGGAAATGTTATTAACCCTTGCAGTGGGGCTACCCCCACACTTCAAGGGTTCACTACTGATTTGTGTCTAGGTGCTAAAAAAAAGTTATACTCATCCGATCATTCAAGCCGGCTTGTTCTCAGATTGGTTCTTAGAGCCTCTCTCTCCCTCCTCTGCAGTGGTCTAAGAATTCTTGTGTCATCACGTTCTTTACAAGTGTATAAAGTAAGGTTGCTGAGGAACATTCCATCTGTGCAGTGGAGGAGAGAGGCTTCAGAGACCAGAGAAGCAAGGAGTCGGCTTGGCAGTTCGGGTGAGTATAACTGTTTTTAGCACCTAAACCAAAACAAGCAGTTAAGCCTTGCAGTGTGGGGGTAGCCCCACTGTAAGGATTAATCAAAAATTTCCCCAGAGTTCTTCTTTAAATCATTGTCAGTTCACCTTGGAATGTAGTCATCAAATACATTGTTCAATAAATTACAGAGCAACATCATCTCTTATCAAGAGCAAAATGGTAATCATATCATGTATTAACGTATATCTAAACCCATGGTGCCCAACATACAGCCTGCTGGCTCTCTCTGTGTGGACCGCTGTGTCCTGGGCTGGGCCCAGCACCTGTTGGGCAGCTTGCAGTGTGGCAGTGGAGTGCCAGGTGCCGAGATATTCTCTGTGTTCCACATCTGACACTAGCGCTGGGGGTTACTTGTGTGGCCAGTGACACCAATGCTGGGGGTTACTAATACTGCCACTGGCACCAACAATTAGGCTTATTTCACTCTACCTTTCTCATCAGTGTGCATTTCATAAAAAAATACAGTTTGATCAACATTTTGAGGCATTGAGGCGTGTCACATCCCATGATTGAGCCTCCTAACTTGATGCAATGTGCTTCATGAAAACAAGCTTCTATTGTGCAGCCCTCCGGAAGGCCCTCTATGATTTCCAAGTTGACCACCGCTGATCTAAGCCCATGAACAAAAAATGTAATTTATTGCAGCTCACCAGAGCTTAGATGTGCTGGCTGCATTCGTTTTCTGTTTCAGGCTAAGAATATTTTCAACAAGTAAAGGAAATACCTTGTCCATGTCACTTGATGCAAAAAATATTGTTATCTCCTGTAAACTCATCAATTCACCATGTAATGCAGATGCACAGAGGCAGACATGTTCAAAGTCCCACTTGCGTGACAACCGTGGCTCCCTCCACAGATACCAGGGAGAAGTGAGTGCAGGCAAGAAGGGGCAGAAAATATGTTATGCTCAGCATTACCAGGTGAAAATAAATGGAAAAAATGAATGTAGCCAACACATCTAAGGACTGGTAAGCTGCAATATATTAAATGTTTGCTTTTGGGTTTAGATACGCTTTAATCAGCTTATGTTTTGTATTAGTAAGCTGGACCACTTTAAAAATGTATATACACATTTATGCAAAGGAAGGGTAAAATAGCAATGTGTACACCCCATGGTGAATGCTGCTATGTCATTTCCTAAACTTTATACCTGGTAGCTAACCACATGAACTACATCGCCCTCACTAAAATTAATTTGATTATAAAATAGCTGTGGTCACAGTGTATTCACCACACATGAAAGTCACATAATGGTTTGCTTTAGAACCTAAACATGTACACACCCTGACACAACTGCTGAAGTGTCCTTTAACAGAACCAAATGTTTTAACCTATTTTCTCAATCAAGATGATTCGGTGAAGAGTAAAGTGCAAATGACAGTAGCTCATGGCAATCAATCAGAATTGAATTTACTGAAATCAGACCAAAACATAAGATGTATTCTGATTGGTGGCTATGGGTATTGCTCTTTACACCTTGATTCTAGCTCCTTGCACTTTTTCACTGGATAAGCTCGAAGGACTAAAAAAATACATATGGACTTACAAAAGGCTGTTCATTGCATTGACACGTTTCCCTAACATTAATATCTACAACACATATATGTCAGCAAGAAATAAATACAATGATCATCTCGGCTGTTTTGAAATTGTCACAAACAAAATTTGCCTACGCTGACATTTGCCTGCACATGGGTTATTAAAAGCAGCAAATTCTGCTAAATCGGAATTGTCTCACAACACTGACCTTGTTCTTCCAAAGGCTCTGCCATCGTCACTGCTGTAGGGAGGCTGGTGTGTTATGGCACACTATGTCTGCCCTGTTCACTGAGGCTCATTCTATGCCAATGACGTGTAGCATGCAAAGAATGAGTGTCGTATAACGGTAAATACATGACACCCTTCTTTTACACCAATGATTCTCGTGGTCTAAACAAACACCGCAGTGGCTCTTTCTAAATTTGAAAATGTATTATCCAAGGATATCTATTAAAGAAAGAGCATGATAGACCAAACGTGGCTGAAAAACCTTGACCCATAATTATGCAATTTCCTGACACAGAACATATTTGCAATAACACTGAATAAAAGCACACTTAAAAAAATTAGGGATGTATTGTTTAGGAACGCTGACTTACCGTGGAGACATGAAAAAAAGAGAACGTGTTATTATGTTAAAGTAGTGACATCAGAATCCTGCCTTTCACAACCATGTCCCACTTTACATCAGAAGCCCCCTTACATTAGGAGCCCCCTTCACATTAGAAGCCCCCTTGTTTCACATTAGAGACCCCCTTTTCATACTAGGAGCCCTGCTTCACATCAGAGCCCCCTCCTTTTACATCAGACAACCCCTATACAGCAGGAGCCCCATATCATATCTGATACCATATGAGAATTCTCCCCTACAGATCAGAAGCCCCATATCATATCTGATACCACATCGAATTTCTCCCGTACACATCAGAAGCCCCATATCACATCTGATACCATATCAGACTTCTCCCCTACACATCAGGAGCCGCATATCATATCCGATACCATATCGGATTTCTCCCCTACACATCAGGAGCCCCATATCATATCCGATACCATATCGGATTTCTCCACTACACATCAGGAGCCCCATATCATATCTGATACCATATCAGATTTCTCCCCTACACATCAGTAGCCCCATATCATACCTGATACCATATCAGATTTCTTCCGTACACATCAGGAGCCCCATATCATATCTGATATTACATCAGATTTCTCCCCTTCACATCAGGAGCCCAATATGATATCTTATATCCCAGGGTGCCACGGCGCTCTGGTTGAGAAAAGCTGGTGAAGGGTATACTTATTTACATATGTAGTAGATGATCTGCAGGATTTTAACTTGTTCTTGGTACAGCTAGGCTAGCTCACAGAACTAAGCAAAAAGAGCCACTAGAGGCAAATCTACACTTGCGGCTATGAGCTGAAAGAAAATGCTTCTGCTTGTCACAGCCAGTGTGACAGGAAAACCGGGAAAAAAGATTCCCATTCACTAACTGGGCAGCAACATAAAACACCGGACTGTCCAGTATAAATTCTATGTATGCCAAATCTTGTGAATAAAAGAGGTTGGTAAGGTGATAGGATCTCCATTTTTCCTTAAAACACTGCTCACTTGCAATTTCTAGTTAGCAAAGCAGTACATTACACTACAAACACAAATCTGGCACAGAAGCATGTGTGGATGTCTCCTCTATCCTAAACCAGTCATGCATAACACACAGCAGGTTAGGCCTCAGGCTCACAGCATCACTTTTATCACTGCAGCTAAAGCTTCTGGCTGCTAAGGAATGTTTTCGGACAGGCAGTGTGGCCATAGTCCTTGAGGGTAGGAGGAGGGGCCCTGATACTGATCCTACATTTATCAAGCTCCCCAGCACAAACAGAAATGGCTAGGACTTTGACAATCACTTACAAACTTGCATACCCTCCAATGCCTACCCATGGCCCTTTTCTACTACTAGTAATGCAGTCAATCTTCTAGATTTAGTTGGAGCCTTTCTACATTAATGTATAATGAAGCAGGCTTCTGGAAATAAAATCATCAGAAGACATTTTATTGGGCATTTATTAAGAACTGGAAACATGCATATTAAAAATGTATATATGCATGCTGTATATAAAAAGAGAAAGCATGTTTCCACAATGTATTGTTCTTATAGATTTCCAATATTTATTGGAATATCAGTGCTAGCAGTGGTGAAAGAACAATAATGGATAGCTTTCAACTGTCATTTGGAGGGACTGTCCTTCTTTTCAAACAAATTAATTGTGTCTGTTAATGTCCTTCAATAGTTCCTCTTTTAGCTCAAGTTTAG